AGTAAATATATACATATACAGATATTCTATAGAAAAGAGGAGTACTGTATTTCTTAAGTTCGGGCACCTTATATGTACATTATCTCATTCACTCCTACCAAACTTTTTAGGGGAGTGGTTTTATCTTCACTCTATGAATTAGTCCATTTCTGTTGCTTATGATAAAATACCTGGAACTGGGTAGTTTGTAAAGAAAGCAAAATGTATTGCTTACATTTCAGAGGCTGGGAAGTCCAAAGTGCAGGTAACATATTTGTTAAAGCCTTGGTGTTGATGACAGTGACCCAGGGGTCTCACATGGGGCAGGAGAGAGAGAAATTCTCTCACATGCTCTTCTTTTAAAGCCCTCAGAAGCATGCCCATGACCACCATTGTTAATCAATTCACTGGGCATGGTCCTCAGAATCCAATCACCTCTTCAAGGCCACACCATTCAATTACCATAACAGGATTTCCCACCCTCTTAACAGTCACAGTGGAGATCAGGCTACTAATACATAAAACTTGAGGGACACAATCCGTATCACCATGTAAGTTATGAAATTAAAATTTAGAGAGGTTAAGTTACTTATCCAAGATTCCACATTTGCTACATGGTGAAGCGAGCTATCCATTCTGCATCTGTCTCATGCTAAAACCTCACCGCTTTTTTTTTTTTTGTATGTATATTTAACTTTTGAAAATTATGTTAAGAACATTTAGCATGAGATCTGCTTTCTTAACAGATTTAAAGTATATGATATAATCACAATATTGTGCAGCAGATCTCTAGAGCTTACTCATCATGCACAACTGAAACCTTATACCCATTGCAGTCCCCTTGATAAGGATGAAAGAGTCCACTGGCACCGACATGTGTGCAGTTAAGGCCTTGCCAGCCCCGCCCTCGCTTCTTTCTATTACATGGTGCTACCTTTGCAGTAACACAAAATACTGAATTCAAAATAGAAATTAACTTACTAATTCATCCCAACAGCACATAGTTCACCTAAAAATAGCTGATAGAAACTTATTTAGAATACGATGGATTTCTCTAACAAAATGTCGAGTGCATACCATGTACCATACTCTGTGTTAGATGCTGAGGATATGGAAATGAAAAGGCGAGAGAATCTCATTGCTAGCTTTTGGAAGCAAAATATATAATATGTTATGGAACAGCCTGTAGGGCAGAAGTCTTTTTATATGTTACTGTTGGGTTAATTTTTAAAAGCCAGTTAGACAAGAGAATCATAAAAATTATATGTAAAATATCTTAAATGTATTTTAACTTAAACAAATGCATTGTCATTTGACAATGTGTCGATATAAAGTCAAGTCTTTTTCTTTGAGTATTCCAGACAGCTGGTGGTATGAGTTGACTTTCTTATACATCCCATAATTCATTTTCCAAAGTTTACGATTTTGGTTTCTTAGAAGAGGACCAACTTTTAAGACTCTTTAAAGTAATAAAAGTTTATACTCTAGGACTTTAGAACTTTAGATATTAAACTTTTATGATACTCTGACCCATATGTCTTAGAAATAGTTTTAAAATCTACATGAAAATTTAATGAATACTTTAATTACACGCATACATTAATTATTCCTAAATACTTCATAGTTTTTAAAATTTACAATTAACTTCTTTAAAGGTATATTTCACAAATCCAGAGGTAATCTTAACTACTGGTAATTTGTATCTATACTTACTTGAACTTGTAATGTATATACTCTGTTGGTGTTTGGGAATGCTGTGGGTGACATTTGGTTAGGCATTTTTCTGGGCATGTATACATCCCAAAGCCCTGGGATGCCAGGGTCATACCTGCAGGGCTGGAATGTGGTTCTGGCTTGTTAGTCCCAGAATCTTCACATCCACTATACTTATAATATTGTTCGTCCCTTCGGATTCCTTGTGCTTAGTCTGATATATCTTTTACTTGTTTCTGGACTTGGTGGTTAATTGCTGTCTACTTAGTGCCCGTGTATGTTCAGAGTGCTCCAAAAACTGAGAAGCTATTCCAGGCATTCAGAAATAGGATCTAATGAGCCTAGTATTAAAATTATTAAAACAAGCCCACCCCTGGTTTTAAAATTAATAGTGTTTGTGGTAATGAAACATGACATGAAGTGAGCATTTTACTGATATTTATGGATTTCAGGCCACCCGTGTGATGTGGACGCCACCTCTCCGTGAAAGTTTTTCATATCCATTCCTTGTACTTCAGATGTGTGTTTTAACTCTGATTCTCAGGTAATTTTGATTTATAAAACAAAGCTAAATAAGTTATAAGTTAGATTTCTTAAAATATGCTTAAACCTATTAAGTTATAATTAACAAATTTAGGCTATGATTTTGAGTTATTTTAAAAATAAATTGAATATAGAGTTAAGAAAATAATCTAAAATTACTATGTTCTAATTACTTTCCACTTAAGAGTCTAGACTATGGGTTTTAGGTAACTTTATTATGTTTTAATAAGTCAAAATGTACAGGGGACTTCAAAAAGTTTGTGGAAAAAAATGAAATTTAAAGGAAAAAACAAAAAGAAGGAGCCAAATCAGGATTGTAAGCT